ATAGATGGTTTTTAAAAAATAAGCTTATAAAGAAAATGTGCTTATATAGGAGGTGACTATAGAGAGGTTTGACTGTAGATGGTTTTTAAAAAATAAGCTTATAAAGAAAATGTGCTTATATAGGAGGTGATTATAGAGAGGTTTGACTGTATTAGAATGATTATGTATACATATAGGGCATTTTCTAATTGTAGCAACTACAATTTTGCTATTAGATTAAGGTAATATTTAAATAAATAAGGTTGTTGAAAGAACTCAGTTGTGTTTTTCAGATAAGGATTAGCAAACATGCTTTATTGAAGTTATCTTTTCTTCAAGAACACAGAACCCAGTGATCATCACATCACATGTGAAATCATGCAATGGCATAATTTGCTTACTAGCACTAAAAAATTAGCCTAAACTATCCTATCACCTAACCCTAACACTAACCCTAACTTAGGCCGAACATTTAATCTTGTGATGTGATGATCACGTAAATATCACTGGGTTCCTTGTTCTTGAAACTAGACAAACCTCTTTATAATCACACTTGGGATACAAAAATGGGTGATTGTAGAGAAGTGTGACGGTCATAGAGGTCAAATTTATTATATTTAATAATAGTTTGTTTTTTAAAAAATATACTTATAAAGAAAATGTGCTTATATAGAAGGTGACTATAGAGAGGTTAGACTGTATCTTATATGAGAGCTGCACAGGGAAAACCTGTAAGTAAATTTTATTCGTTAAAATATTGTACAATTTTGACCAATCAAATCTCAAGATCAGGCTGATCTTGAAATTTGATTGGTCAAAATTGTACAATATTTTAACGAATAAAATTTTACTTACAGGTTTTCCCTGTGCTGCTCTCATATGATTTGCACATACTAGAGCAGTGTAAAAAATTCGATGTACGCTTGTGCGGATCTATTTTAATATGAAGAAAGCATGTGATCATATGAGTGCGCACATAATTCTCAAACTGAATTTTTACACTGCACTAGAAGTTTGGGCAGAATTTTGCCTGTCTGTCCGCCCACGTGACCAAACACATAAGTTTCCTAGTTCTATAGAGTTATCGCGCACAGTAAATAATTAATATACACGAAACTTACACGATCATTCCTTTCGGGATAATGCTATTCCGAGATGATAAGTTTAAGGATCATCCCGAAATAGACAATGAACGATCATGCGCGTGAAAAAAATACTGATATACGCCTGAACATAACCTACTATATATGTTACAATCATTTTAGCTTTAGGTTTTCGATGGTTAGTAAGCTATTGAACATATAAGTGAAGGTTGTGATTTTGTAAATTAAAATTTTTAGTAAAATAATTTTAGATAAATTTTGAATACGTAGCTTTAGGCTACGTATAAGAATTATAATATGTAATGCAGTTGTCTAATGCATATCGATAAAAACTTTAATTTTAATTAACACAAAAATGGTTCTTATAATTTTTAAATGCATAAATTATCTATATCGATATGTTTAACGATAGATGGCATTCAATTAGAAAGTATTGACTGTATATTAATAGATAAAATATGAATGCTCTCTATTAGGATCTGCTTAGCGCTAGTTCTTACGAGGTTGTCTATACCCATAGACACAAAAGTCTCAGGCATTTTATAGACACACATGTAAAGTTCCAGACACTTTTGGGCCAGGCATCCCGTGCCCTATTACCTAGTAATTTAAACCAGGCCTTATTTATAACACAAGGTGCCCAACATTTGATTGCGTCTATGCCTACAAAGTGTCCAACAACTTTAGGCTAGATATTTTGCATCTGCGCCCATGCCTATCACTTTATTAGGTACGGCACAACCAGGCTTGCAGATCCCTAATATCTATTCATTAAAAACGAGCATTTTCTGCATTTACAATTACTAATGTTACCTCCAATTTCAGTTCCTATTGCAGTATTCTAATCAAAGATATGATGTTACTGCGACCAATAAGAACTGGAAATAGTTACTCCTTTGTAGCTCAGCTCACAACATTTCGGTGGGTATTCCTTTTAATTCACGATTTCCGGTCGTACTAGATTAAAAATTTATCCGTCTGACTTTTATTGGATAGCAATTTATTTTTGCGAAATTCGGGTGAATAATTATTTGTATATAAGGTAGAGTGTTCTGCTCGAATTTATAACTTGAATATGTTATTCATTTTTCAAATTTCTACCAATAAAAAAAAATGTTTAGTAACAAGCGATTTTCTTTTGACAAAATCCCTGATCTTTCTGGCAAAGTAATTAAAATTTAATTTTTATACTATTTATTTATTTATTTATTTAAAGCTAATATAAAATGTTTCATGTTTAATTTAGGTTGCAATAGTGACAGGTGGAAATACTGGTATAGGAATCATAACAGCAAGAGAATTAGCCCGTAAAAATGCTCATGTATTCGTTGCAAGTCGTAGTAAAGATAGAGGTGAATCAGCTGTAGAATTAATAAAAGAAGAAACAAAAAAAGATGCAGTTGAATTTTTACAATTGGATCTACAAAGTTTAAATTCTGTTAAGGTTGCTGCTGAAACATTTTTAGCTAGAAATTTACCATTGCATATTCTGTGAGTGTTATCATAAAATATATATAAATTGCGTTAAAACTAAAATTTTTTATGTATATTGATATTTACTTTATTTTCAGAGTTAACAATGCCGGTATTATGGCAACGTAAGTTATTTTTTTCATATCAGATATGTAGTCAGTTCATGGCGTGAATATATATAATAAATTATCATTTTAATTTTTACATTTATATTAAAAAGTCCATTTGCGACAACTGTAGATGGTATTCAAGATCAGTTTGGCACTAATCATATTGGCCATTTTGTAAGTATGAGAATCTTTAATTAAATTTTTTTTTTAGAAAAAGAATTATCATAACATGATTTTTAAACTACGAAAAAGGTCTTCACACTCTTGCTGTTGCCAACTATCAAAGCTTCGGCTCCATCACGTATTGTAAATGTTAGCAGGTTAGTTTAATTTCTTTTCCATATTAAGAAACTTAATTTTATGTTATTGATCGTTATCGTCTCGGTATGAATTTAGTGAGGCTCATAAACTTGCACCTTCAGCGGGGATAGAATTTGAAAAGTTGAATGATCCAAAGGCTCAGACCTCTTTTCAAAGATACAGTCAATCAAAAATCGCAAATATTTTATTTACTCTTGAACTTAATAAAAGACTTTCAGGAACAAATGTTTATTGTAATTGTCTCCATCCAGGTAAAAAAAAAAAATTTTTAAATTGGTATTTTACAATATTACGTGTATAATAAATTATTCTAAATAATATACTATTTAATATCAATAATTGCATACGTATAAATAAGGTGTCATAAAGACTGAGTTAATGCGTGGAGTGATTACTGACTGGGGATCTTGGATAAAACCAATTATCTCTGTAGTTGGCTTTTTCTTTTTAACACCTGATGATGGTGCTTTAACTCAACTTTATTGTGCTACAAGTCCTGAAATTGAGGAGAAAAATCTCCGTGGAAAATATTTTGTACCATTTGGTGAAGTAGGTGAACCTACTACTCAAGCTAAAGACGAAGAATTGGCAAAAAAATTATGGGATTTTTCTGAAAATTTCGGTAAACAAACGTTGGGTGATGACATTTTTAGCAAGTGTTTTGCATAATTTTGATGTCTTGACTAGTGTTTCGGGCCAAAATAATTTCTAAAATCCGAAATATTTCGCCAGAACGAAATAATTTCGGTTCAAACTGCATAATATTTAGTAATTTGCACTTTATGAATTCCGAAAACATTTCACTAGTTTTTTTATTTTTATTTTTATTTTGTTTCATATAATTTTCATTTTCATATTTATGTATACAAGGAGTTCAATTTATTCAGATGTAACTTCAAGTGCAACTTCGCACTATACAGTATAACCTCGATATAACGAAGCTCTGGAGCTGGAGGTTTTGTTTCGTTATATCAAAACTTATTAGTAGTTTCATTATATTAGGGCTAATTTAAACATAAAAATTAGAAATAATCTTCGTTATCGTTATATCGAGGTTCGTTATATCAAGGTTATACTGTATGTATATTTTTATAGTTGATATCAAAAAAATTTATTATTCGATTGTAACTTACATTTGACTCTAAAGTAAAAGTTTTTCAACACAAATTTTCGTGTACAGAACATGCATAAGAAAGTTATTTAATAGTACCGTATATTACCGAATAGAAGCTACCAAAATTTTGAGAGTTTTTCGGACTAAAAAGAGGGAGTAGCTTCTATTCGGGTCCAATTTTATTATTAAAACATAGTAACTTCATCCAAATTTTTAATCCAAAATGAAGAGGTAGCTTCTATTCGGCAATATACGGTATTTTAACTTAGCATAATTGTGTAAACCTTTTTGATTATTGTTAAAATAAAACCAGATAAAGTTTTAGTTTATTTGGTTTGTAAAGTTTGACTATTTATTGTTATATTTTTGTGATAACTATATTGCAACTATATAAACTTTGCAAATATTTTTAATAAAATATCTAGTATAGTTTTTATAAAGTATATATATTTTTTATTAAATAAGTAGCTGCGCGACATTGTCGCGCTAAACCAGGAGCGGACGACAACTCCAATACAGATATATCAGCTATTTTGACATTTTTTTTTTAAACTTGAATAATTTTGAATAAAGCAACTACCAAAATATTCATCTTGATAAGACGATTCTAACGAGCCCAAAATTGCCAAAATTCAATCACTGGAACCTGAGATAGATAAGGATTTTTGCAGAGGTGACGCACCTATAGAATGGAGAGAATGGAGAGATTGGTTTCCCCACCTTATAAATGCGTCACCTCTATAAAAACATCTATCTCGGGATCCAGTGATTGAATTTTGGCTATTTTGGGCTCGTTAGAATCGTCTTATCAAGATGAACATTTTGGTAGTTGCTTTATTCAAAATAAATTAGTATATTAAAAATAATTCAAATTTAAAAAAAAAATCAAGTTACATATATTTTAGTACATTTCCAAAAATCAACCGGTATGAATAGTTATATAAGTTATTCAGATAAATAAATATCGGGTATACAACTAAATACAGCATAACCATATTGATATGTGACATAATAATTTAAACAAACAAAAAAATTTCATTAGATGTATAGAGTATAGAGTGTAAAATACCTCTTTAAAAAACATATAACAATCACTACAATTTCCATAATACGTAATGCATAAATTCGTTTATCATTAACGTTTAATTCGAACTATCGTTGCATTATGATCAATTTAATTAAGAAGTGTAAATCAGGCCGGAACAGGTATTAAAAATAGGGGTATTTCACACCCCGGATCCGTTCATAATAATCTGCATAATTTAGGAATGTTCTTGGCAGATGATAAATTATACAGACTAATGTGGATAAGAGGTTAAACGAGATGTGAACAGCTCATATTAAATACTTAGACTAATTAGATCAATGAATAATAACTAAGGTGCTCTCAATGTGATTAGGTAGCTATCGAGATCATTCATAAATACTACGATTAATTGAGACGATCCCTACTGTAATTTTGCTGAAGTCTATGACAAAAAAGATGGCTTCAAACGTTTTTTTTTTTTTACCGCGATAATGAACCTATTTACCGGTTAAACTACTTTCCACCAATTAAAAATTGAGTTCCGACCTATAATTTATGTGCTTGAGAGAACCTTTTGCCAAAGGAAAGGGAACATCTGATGATCGACACGGGTTTTCAATTATAACAGATAAATAAACGAATGCCCATGGCGTCACTCAAATGAAACGAGAAATTAATTAATACGTATTTTGATTGATAATGTTCAATTGATTAAATAAGAAAATCATGTGAAAAGTTTTGTAGACCAATTACAACCCACTAAAAATTTTTAAAGCTGTTAGCGCTTATATGGCTTCTTTAAATACTATATTGCTTTAAAATCATTATTACTGTGTAATAATATTTAATGCAAAGCTTGTCGATATTATTTACCACAACTTGAGCCACGGCCAAGTCATGCTCTAGCCATAACACAAATCGTGGCTTCAATAATTATGGTTTAAAGATTCAGTTGCGGCTGATACGTAAAAAGCTGCAACACCAAGTTGAAGCTCATCGGTTTTGGCTCCATTGTGCAGCTAAAACCGGCTTCGGAATAAGCCGTTAACAGCTCTGAAGACTATCTGAGGACAATAATAAAAAAAAAAAAGCATTGATCGTCATTCACTTTACATGTTAAAGAACCTGCTAACCTTAACTATAATGCAGGCCATACCTTGTCGATAAGGTTAGTGACTTTAACCAATTTTTTTTATTAGCTATATATATAGTAAGTTATAGTTATTTGTATGGGCTTTAAAAAATAACTAAATTTGCATGGGTTAACGTTACATGGTCGAAGGTAGGGTTGTTAATGGAGTACTCCAGTTTATAATAAAACATATAACCCACTCCGGAGCATTCCAGAAATGGGTTATATGTTTTATTATAGTCTGGAGCACTCCATTAACAACTCTAGTCGAAGGCCATGTAACCCTAGTTATTTTACAACCCATATATTTTATTGCACGGTGTCTGACGTACAATCCCGTGCCACTAAGTCAATGAAAAAACACAGGTTGTTACATAAGACCCGTGCAATAATAAATGATTTACTATCATAGTGCAGCACTATCACTATCGCTATGTCATAGGACGACATTCGTATGATTGGTAGATCTACCCGTGATTTCCCGTGATAATTAACCAATCAAATCAATCAAAAAAATTATTTCGCAAGTAAATTTTTATTATTATTAGCGAAGCTTTTACATTTAATTTTATATTCAAACCATAATTCTATTTTATTTTC